CCCCTAGCCCTGATGAAAGAAAGAGGAAGCCGAGGAAGCCAGGGAGATCCAGGGAGAACTGTGAACCGCAGCGTTTAGGTTGGGGCTTGTCCCAGCTTTGCGCTTGGCTTCCTGCCCCGATCCTGTTGACCCTGTGCAGCCTTCTCGGATGACCACCACCACCGTGGTGACAACCTTCCTTCACAAGTGGCCTCTTGTTCACGTCATCCGGAAGAGTCCACCCGGGTACAACCACGCCTCGACACTGTGGAACTGCGCTCGCGAGTTCGCCAGTTGAGAGCGTCAGTGAGAGGCTCTGACCAGTATATACTTTTGCAGGATCCATGAACCGCATAGATGGACATGCTGAAAAGGGATGTCCTCGTGGCGCCATACCGATGCTGCACACCCACTCTTTCAATTCGGCATCCGGGGGAACTCACCAACTCCTTGTAACTCCCACAGGGCTTGCAGGGCCGGAAACCAGGACACACACACACACACTAGCAGCCCCGCCTGGCTCTCAAAACAGGCAGGGCACACATGTTTGATACAGTCCGAGACCATCCTCTGAATCAGGGATGGGGCAGCTCATCGAGCTGGCCACAGAAAACTGCTTGCGGCTCAGAGCTCAAGGCCCGAGTAAAGCAAAGCATTTTGCTACTACATTGAATTTGACACGAGATGATTCAGGGCGGGGTCCGATATTCAACTCCAAGCTCGCCAAAGAGGGTCTTGCTGTCCCACAAGGGTACCAGGAGAGAGCTGTCGGCTCGTCTAGGCGCTACGCCTACGAGTGCAGCTTGAAGTACCCAACAAGCGCGACAATATCAGCTTGAAAGACGGAGAAATGAAAAGGTTTGTCATGCTTCGCCTTGTCGTGGTGCGACAGCTTGCTTGTCATGGTCCGGGTTATCATTCCTTGTCGTGGTTGGTACACCCTTTCCTCACAGCACAGGGCCATTCCTCCTGGCAGTGCTTTCCTTTTCTAAAGCCCAGAAGATTGGAAAAATCAGCCAGGGCCGACGACAAAAGTCACGGCGACAAGCCGAGCCGTTTCACAAACACTGACCCACACGACGGCAGCGGCGAAAACCCGACTGCGCTCTCGGAGCTTTCCTTCGGAATGGTCAGGTGCAATTGCCGTGTAATCAACCCTGACAGTCGTGAGGGTCGTGACTTGCCAACCTAGCAAGTGTCTTTGCACTAGCCTTGCTTCTGATTGCGTCCACAGGATGGGGCACGCGCACAAACGGAGACACACGCGCACAAACGCACGCACGCAACCACCAACCCATGCCCGAACTGTTGCTTCATGTGAAACTGCGGGCCTAATGCTGAGTTGTTGAGTGATGTATGTCGGTTGAGATGGTTGAGCATATGCATGAGCAGCTGTTGTTCTTTTTGCCAGCTGTTCGCACACATGTGGGGTCGTGAGGCCAACAGGATTGCCAGCTGATGTGGAATAACCAGTCACGAACACGCGACCCCAAGCAAAGGGCCTTCCTCCTTACGAGAACACCCTTCGGCCCCCTAAAAGGGGAAAGAGAGGGAGCGGGAGGGGTCTCAGCCTTATCACGCCCCAAGCAAGCAAGAGAGAGAGAGAGAGCGCGATACGTTTTGTCCCTAGTGAAAGTGAGAAACTTTTTCCAGAGGGAGGAACACAAGCGAAAGGTCTTCGTGTTTCGCTTTGCGTCGATTCTAGTGATTGCTGTCTTCAGCCGTCATGTTTTGCCTTAAGTAATTCCAGTTTTCAGCCCGAAGCCTTGAAGACGGAAATCCTGGAAGGCAGAGGCTGCAAAGGAGACCGCCGAAGCTGCTGCAACCGCTGCTGCCTTCGAAGTTACGCAGGCCGGCCACTGGGCAATGCTTCAATCGTGTCCGGGAGGTGGCCGGTTTGAAGTAGCGCAGATACCTGCAGGCTCTGAACCTGCTCATGTTTCAACCTCCAACTTGGTGTCAGGAAAGGCGCGAGCGAGCCCGCGATCTCACTGAGTTCCACACCGTGCTGCACCATGGCTAAACTTAAGCTTGTGAGGATGAGCGAGACCCTGACTGAGAGTGTGCAGTCCTTGAGGCAGCAGCACAAGGACCCGGCTTTCTTGAACGTGCGTTTGCTTTTGTATAGAATGCCTGCACTCAGCTTGAGTACACATACCACCCCACGTGCGAACGACCCCTTCCGAGAGTTTCATCTGCGTTTCTGCGTGGCTCACTTCCCTGTGGCTTTACGTGTTTTTGTCACGTCGTCAGAGACTTTTCGCGTCGCCAGCTCCAGGTCCACGAAACCTCTTCGAAACTTGTTGTGTTTTTGCACCGTTGTGTTAATGAGGATTAAGCATTGCGAGACTCTCGATGACGGCACGGCAGAGAGAGAGGCGACACGGGGACTCCCAGTAACAAACCCCGCAACGCCGGGGCAGACCTCAACCAAGCGTGTGAGCACCCGATCCCCTGGCCACCACGTCCCTTCACTAAGGGACACTAAGGACACGCCCATGAAAAAGCCAGCGATCGGGGTCACGGCACACTTCCTGTAAGGAGAATGCATAAAATTTCGCGATATCCTGGGCCCAAACTGCGGAACACTGCTTCTCGCAGGTTTGCTGCTGCAGCCGAGTTTAAAGCCATCCTGCTTTACTTTCGAAAATCTTGATGAAGCGCTGTGCCGTTATTGTTTCTGTGACTGTCTCTCCTGCGCTTCTGCTTTCCCAAGTTCACTCTTGCAATCTCGCTCTAGTTACCTGTCCTCTCCCATATGTCTATTCCAGCTCTGATCGCCAGCGGGTAGGAACAGTTGAGCGTCGAGCGGCATCGCCAGATCTTTTCAGAGCTGCATCTTGGCAGACAGAGCAAACCTTGTCAGAGTCGGGTTTCTTTGATGCTAGTAGAAGCCTTTGTCACGACCAACTCGCATTTCCACCTATCTCAATCTCCGTGCCGTGAACTTAGCCTCAGGTGCGGGACACTGGACAGGACCTCCGATTGTGAATAGATCCGAGCCGCCGTGTGCCACCAAAAGAGAGATTGCTTGGCGGACTTATGTCCTGTGTGTTTCACGAAGTAAAGTTCCCGCATCTTGCTCTTCATCTTCGACTTGGGTTCAACTTGATGAAGCGGGGTGTTGATGACAGCATCGCTGCACGTTTCAAGGGCCATGGGCAGCCTCTTGATACCACTGCAGGCCCAGAGAACTGCGCAAGCCGGGTTGTGACTGCTGGGAATTCTTGCGTCTTGGCTGCAACTGCAATGCTGGGTGGAATCGACAAGCCCGGTCACGCGGAGGTGGCGAGGCTGTGCATTGCGCTGGAAGTGGCTTGCTTCGCTTGCTTGAGACATCTCTCCGAGGCCGTGACTATTGCCTCGCGCGTGGTCGAGGCTGTGTCAAGTCGTCTGCCATGACCTCGAAACTGCATAGCAGACAAAAGGGTGCATAGGTCTGAGCCTGACGGGCCCTTGTGATTTTCCCGTGCCTATGAAGTTGTTCTCGTGATTTGAGGAGCTTAACTGCAATGCCGGGAATGCCAGTCTCCCGTATTGATGAGAAGGGCAAGCATGCATCAAGTCAATCTGCTTGCTGCTGGCCGACTAACCATTGATTAATGTTTCAGGTTGTAGTCCCGGAGGTGTTCTGGCAGGTTCTAGCTTTGCCATGGAACTACCCCTGACGACAGTCTCCCCCCCGTATCCAACTGCCTTCCAAGCCCATGTTCTTTACTTCTGGATCTGGAACAGCATGTGACGTCGAAACCAGAGTCACGGACAATGAAACCCGGTGCCGCAGCGACGAATCACCAAGGCCGACCTTGCGGCCTGTCGTCCCTTGGACAAGCTTAATGGATCTTGATGATTCACAAGATTCTGACCAGTCCCGCTAGGATGAATACCGATTAGGCACTTTGCGTAGGATTTCGCATGGCCCTCCTCTGCATTTCTTTCTTTCAGGACCTGGAACTCAACACATCTGTTGCAAGGTGCGGAATTTCCAGGCCAAGTTTGTCCGGTACCAAACGATGGTACATGCCGGGTGCTCGGGAAGCTCCGAGCCCTGTGGCTGCACTTGCCCACGGCTGCTTCCTCCGCAAACACTTCAGCCTTCAGGTAATGCATCCCTGGCGGAACAGTGCGCTCCTCAGTCCCTCTGCAACAAGAAACCATACATGTGCTTTTTCTTTCACGAAGAGACAACTACCAGACACGCATTCGCTATAGAGGCAACTCCGGGGTGTGAAACTGACATGACGAGAACACCCAACATGCCTTACATATCAAAGGAGGAAACTGTACATGTTCTCGATTTATGAGGACAGGGCCATGGGGCTGGAAGACTAAAGCAATAAGAAAGCCAAACATGCATTCCAGAACCAAAGCCCTACAAAATACAGTGTAACGACTGAGATCTAAGGGTCCTTACTTACGGGAGGACACCGACACACTCGGCTTCCCCGACTCCCTGTCCTTTCTTCAGACACTGCCTGGCAAAGTCCGAGTGAGCGTCAAAAAATGACCATCGGCGATGGCGTCGGTGCAAGTATAATTAGCGTCTCGCGAAAGTGTTTACATGACCTCGTCAGTCTCCAGATCTCATGACAATGCAATCAGGCTGTGTGCATGTCCCCAGGCTTGCAGCAAGGATCTTGTACAGGTTCAAAGTCCATCAAATCACTCAAAAGAAGCCAATGGCGATAGACGAGGAGTGAAAGTTCCGCGTAAGTCAACGTAAGCCCGGCAATCTGTGGCATGGCAGACCACTTAGCATCTGCATTCAATTCATGTGGTTCTTACTGCGCCATTATGAACCAAGGCTGAAGAATCAATTCTACTTACCATTTACTTGTACGCACCGTCACGATTGCTGTTCTCAACAGCTATTGCTACGCACTTGTCGTACTGTGGTGTATCAGTTTTTGCGATGTACTACAATGAAATGTTTGCTGTTGGTATCGCCTACGAGAATTGGCCGCCACTTGTACCAGCACTGTTATTCTTAGTGGTTCTTACTATTATTGCAAGTGCAAGTACTACGTGCGTGGTTACTAGCAGGAGAAATGCGGGGGCCTGGGTGTTTTGCGAAAAGGGTCGCTTTCGGGCAAGATGATGCAGTGGGAAAATGTGCAGATGTCTTCGGCATATCAACACCTCGGGTGGTGCAGTTGAAATTCATAAACACCCAACATTTGTTGCAGAAGCCAATCACTGCACAAGACTACACACATCTTCGCTTATGAGCAACGCAGTGGTGAAATTAATCCATGAGACGAGAAAAGCGGGTGCAAAATCAAAACATTGAAGGAACCAGGTATGTCGTCCGCAGCGAACACAACCGCACGCCACCTTCGCTGTTTGAGTAGCGGGGTGAAATTCCAGCATAGAAAAGTGAAGTGAAACGGCAGCAGGTTGCGGTTGCAGCTGCAGGCTACGATTCAGAATGAAACTCGCAGATTACGACACTTTGGAGCCAGAAACTTATAGAGATGACTGAGATGACAGCGTTTGGAACCATCAAAGCCAACACCAACAACAGCAACTAAAGCGCTTCACAGCATCTGCCCTCAAGTTTGACAGCTCAGACCGAACACGCCATGCCTGCCATGTGCGAGTGTGTGAGTCGAAATTGTCAAACTGGGGCGCCGCATCCACTCAGACTTCCAGGATCCTCCAGCCGAAGCACAGCTTCCGAAGGAGTAAGAGCAGTGATTCCGTGATCCCTCCAAAGAGCTTGCCTTGCTCGGGAGCGGTCTACGACTCAAGAGGTCGGTCGGGTGAGCATATCTGCATACGTCAGTACATCGCCCACACAAGCACCGTAGATTCGCTTTGGCCACAACTTCAGTTTGACTACTGCTCTAGGTGAAATCCGCCACTTTCCCCATAGCATGACTTCTCTGCACCTTCAGCTTGAAGGCAGGCTTCGCCGCCAGTTAACCTGTGCCAGTTTCCCAAAACATTGTGGTTCCGAAGCCTGTACCTGTTTGTGGGTGTTTGTGGCAGTGTTCAGCATCTTGAGGATCTGCGTTTGTGGTCGAGTGGAGAGTCACTCTGGCACCGACACCTGTTTGCTCAGCGCATGGTGCAGCCAGGCGGGCGGCAGTGTGCCATGTCAGATGTGATTCACAGAGAAACCAAGGTTCCTCGATGCAAGAAAGGTATTGCTTGTAGAACGGATCTTGCCATGACAGTTGCTTGCAACCGGTCGTGTTTGCACCCAAATTCCACACGTTGGGAAAAAGCAAACCGGACTGCCGGCCAGCCGACCAGGGTCTAATGACGCCTGCAGGATACCCGCTTGGCGTCAGCCTTAGCTCGATTGAGATGCACTAGCAAACAGTTTGAACTCCGCTGTTCTGACTTTGCGAGGGAGAGATGGCGACACTCCTTGAGGGTTGTAGTGCCAGTGCATCGGATCTGACATGGCATTGCTCGGTGAAGCTTTCGTCGCTTACACCATCGCTTTGCAGAACTCGACATTCAAGACGTCTCAAAGGGCCTTGCAGCGAAGCATCGGGGTCATGGCATTTCGAAACTCTGCAGGCAGAACACCAAACCCTCTCCCTCACACAATCGGAGTTGCTATGTGGCCAAGGAGTGCACGCAGATTCAAACGATGATTTGATTGTGGCAGACTCTTTGAGGCGCTCTCGTCGTTTCTTGGCACCCGGCGAAAGCATGTGTTCTTGCTGGCATTGGTTCGTAGGGGTGTCTGCTGCGCCTGTCACAAATGCTCTTCAACAACATGGCTCTAGAATAGCGCAGTGGCATTGGTTTTCTTTCATTAGCGTGCCGTGTCCAGCACCCCTGGCGCTGACACAGGGCAGCTGTCGTGAGATGGACAGGCTACAGGCTGGTGAGACATGCTGCATTGCACCATGCATAAGGACAGCACAAGATGACCGTTGGCAAGTCTCTGTTCTTGTCTGGCAGGTACGAAGTAATTGCAGGAGGGAATGGTGCCGGAGGCTCAGGCTTGAGACTCACAACCTGAGGGATTACAGCGTTGTGCGATTGTGAAATCACAGAAGCCGAGGTGGGTTCTTCGGCAAACCAGGCACTGAACCGTGTCTGGTTGCTGGGATGGCTGCCAGGTCTTCATTGAGTACAGTAGAGGTCTCGTGATTCGTGTGTCATTTAGGTATGCAACTTCACCCAGACATGAAGCTTTGCAGTTGAGCAGCCCGCTGGGTGTTTTTTTCCTGTACCTGCCTCAGTTGACAACACCCCAGTTTTGGCATTGTTTGAATTTGCACTTTCGAGGTCGACTTCTGCTATGTGACTCTAAACTTGGTTCGTCTTGATACTTCTCTCTAAGACCGACCCTACAGCTGCAGGAGCCATGTGCCGAGGTCGGGAAACCCTGACATGCTGTACGTTGCTGATACTGTTCTGAGCTAAGCCAACTGCCATGGAGAGCGTGCCTGCAGACTGAAGCTTTGCCTCTTGTTTCCTCAGCTCATCTCTGCTCCAACCGAGGCCAATCACCGGATCGTCGCATGGCCTCGGGGCAGTGCGAAGCCCCTGGCAGTGGTTGGTTTGGTTTTGGACAGATACTCAAGTCACAGAGCATCACTACATCAATGTTTCACATCCTGCACTTTCACGCACGTTTGCGAGAACATGAAGGTGTTCCGGACTGCACAGGCCCTCTAAGAAGCTTCAAATTGCCCATCAGCAACATTGCATCGTCAACCCTTGTACAAAGCCGGGAGTCGAACACAGCAGATGCGGATGGTGACCCGTTCGAGTGTTGTGTCTTCTACTTGTTCCGGGCCAGGGCTAAAGTCGTGTGAGTGCAGAAGGACCGCCCGCTCCTCCTGCGACGGCAACACAGGCGGAAGCCGAGAATTTTCCAGCAGTATCATTCCCTGCCCACCGTTTGATCGAGGCCCACGGTAAGGTCATGGCTTGGGGCGAGAAGCCAACTTTCCAACGAGAGATTTCCCAAGGGGCTCATGGATGCACCCGCGGATGGAGAAATTCCCGCGCCGGGGCTCCCCCTTCCCACCACAGCAATGGTCTATCATGCCGAAGCTAATCTCTAGTGCAGCTGGTGGTTCTTGGTGACCAGCCGGAGGCATTAGATTCCCAGCTCACCGAAGTCCGCGCAGTAAGTGCCTTCACGGTGAGAGTCTAGGGGCCGCCGTTTCTTCTTCCCGGACATGGGAAAGTAAAGCTTCTTTGCAGCTTATGGGGAACCGGGATATGGTATGGGACAGACGAGTTATGCAGCAGCCTGAGCACTTCGCGCAGGGCCAACAAGGGGTGGAGAACGAAGTGTTTCGCACTACCGGGTGGGTCGGGGCACCGTGACATTGTCGACCGGAACAGTACTGTCGCGGGTCGCATCCCGAACTCCCGAGCTGTCCCAGTCCCTCGTCGGGACAATTCGGCCGTGATGCCTGCGCGAGCATGGAACCGGCCCCATAACTCATGCAGGACAGTCATACGCATGCTCATGCATGACATGCTAAGGTGACGGGAAATGTGGTTTTCGGGACAGGCACGCACGGACCTCGTTTTTGGGCTGATTGTTGCCTTTCTGCTGCATTTCATGAGTCAGCGATGCGAGCCGCGAGCCGGGATCAGCTCAGTCTGTCATCGGACAAATACAGAATTCAGACAAAGGCCCAGCGCTTGTGTCATAAAGGTTTTGCTTGGCTTTGTGGTTTAGTCCGGATTTAGGCCCTAGCAGATGCAGACATCTGCAGAGGTGAGTAATGCCTGCAGTCGATCCCTGAAGCTTTTTGCCATGCGCCGCACTTTTCGCCGCTTCCATGCGCACCGGGTGCTCTGCCTCGCCGGCGACGGCACCTGTGGCTATCGTTCTGGAAGCACATACGAGGGACAGCGAGAGAGAGAGAGAGAGAGAGAGAGAGCCTGCAATGGATAATGTTGGAGCTACAGGACTGACGGCAGCGTTCGGCTGTTACAATAAGAGTTTAGCCCCGTGGAGAGAGCCGGGGAGCTCGACCTCAGGTCCAGTGAAAGATAGAGCAGCACTCCCGGAGGGGTGTGCTTCTGAACAGGGGGCGTAGTGAAAGACAGCAAGTACGAGGGTGGGTAATCGGGGGAAAGATTTCGCACGGGTTGAGCTGCCGAAGGGACAGAAACTTGCAACAAGTAATTCGCCATTGCCAGTTGCCTTCATACATATTTGCATAGTCAACGAGGGGTTTGAGGCTTCAAGGCCTGCAGTCTTGAGCTCTGCAGCCCGAATCTTCGCGAGGTGTTGGTGGAGAGCTCCTTGAAGCGACCAAGCTGGCCTTGCAAGCCACAGGTCGGTACACGAAGTGCCCTAAGAAAAGGTTTCCTGTCTGACAGTTGCGCCCTTGCCACCTCTCGCTGACTGCAGGCGTAAACTTCAGCTTCGAAGACATGGACTTTGGGAACGCTTGTGCTCGTCGGACTGGCTTCCCAATCAACGAAGACCATGTGCGAGCTGTGGAAGAGATACTCGCCATGCAAAGATGTTTCCGCCAGATATGGCCAGATACCATCCAGTGTTTGTAGTCTAGACACCACTGTTAGGTCTTCACTGTGTGGGGCTGGGGGCTTGGGTTTCAAGTGTTCGATTTAAAGCTTCGCTGACCGCTTCTGGGCTTTGTTGTGCGTTTTCAGCTTTAGTGCTGGGGATTTCGGTTTAGCGTTGAAAGGCCTACAAAGTCTTCGGGCTTTCAAGGATTCGGATCCGATGTTAGACATAGGAAAGATCCAAGTGCAAGTTCAGTTTCTACATTGCACACGTAGCGAAACGTGACGGCGCCGACAACCGTAAGACCCACTTCCGCCCCAACATGTGCATTATATGTTCCCCGAAGGCCGAAAGTTTTGCAAACACTGCTTGTAGCATCATATGCTACTTTCGATAAGTTGACTTCGAAAATGTTGCCGGAAGGACACCTTTGGCAACATTGTTTATGAAACATGCGCACTTCTGTGCGTCTGAAACCGTGTCCCAAAAAGCAGTACTTCGGCCAAGTGACGACGCAGTAGCTCATGCGGCGGGATGTTTGAAAAAGGAGTTGCTTCAGCTCCTGCGAAACTAAGAAGCAGAAGCCAGACTGCTTAAGCTTCTGCTGCACCCGTGCTAAGCTTGCACCGCCTTCTGCCCTCTGCATCCCAGCCCTACAACCTCGAGGATCGGGTGCGTTCTCAAAGGGCCGATCGACATCCCTGCTGGCAGTGCATCGGCACAAGTTGAGCTCCGAGGCACTGTCGGACGTCTGGAATCTGCAACTAGCACTCACACAACAAATAACGCAAATGCAGCGACCTGAACGTTACCAACCAGAACACGCCTAGTTCTAAGAAGCTCGAAAACATATCACACACGCATGAGAGTTGAGAACAATAGGTGTGGAAAGATTGCTGGCATGCAAACAAGCGCCTCTAGCATCAAGGGTCACAGAGCCTTGAGAACAGGGAGGTTGTTGATGAGTGGGCCTAGTCTTAGAGACGTCTATGCCATGTCATGTTTCTGGGTAGCCGAACAGGTGGCAAAAGTCGAGGTGTCAGCAGGAAACGACCAAGTAGGCTCCCAACTCCCACCGGCAGAGGGTCCCGAACCATGCTGCATACCTCGCTTAAATTCTCCTATTACACAACAAGGAGTTGTTGCAAAGGAGGAAGTCTTCCGGCAAACCGCCTCCAGGTCCACTGCACGCACTTTACGGCAACACTTTCTACACATATTGACACGTTTGGAATTTCGAATCGCATATTTCAGGGTTCAGGCTTGTTGCGGCAGATCAGGGCGAGAGAAGCCTGGTGCAAAAGGCTTGTTGCGTGGTTGGGGCCTTCCTGAAGCTCACTCTAACCTAGACTCTCAGGACTTAGTGGCCGCGGAGATGTAGTTGCAGATGCAACGTCGACGTCGTATCGGTGGATGACATGAAACCAAACCCGCACTCATCAGCAGTGCCGATTTGGACGATCATGGAATCATGTCGGCAGAGTTCTCGCGAATTGTGTTTCCGACCATCCATGCAACATGCAAAAAAAGTCGGGTTTGTTACTCAGATCGGCTCTCCTTGGTCAGTCCCGTTATCAGACTCCATCTGCACTGCGGAAAGACTAGCTTGGTCAGGACGGCGCTTCTCCTCGGAGTCCCGGCTGCCAAAATCGGCTTTTGCCACTTTAGACCGCACGCCATTCCCCGCCGCAACCGCATGACACTGTCAGGAAGCATACCATGTAAATCCCGAATATTTGGCACTGCTGCTTTGCACGCTCGATGTGAAGCCAACTCGGTTCAAGAAATATTGGAATCAGAGCCACCTTTGTGCTCCAGGCGAATCAGGCCCTCCGCAAGCTCTTTCAGCTCTATGCCAATGTTCGACCGGCCAAGTATCTCGAAGGAGCCGCATACTTTCCTTCCGAGTACCAAGCTTCGAGGCTTTAGGGTCTTAAGGTTTAGGGTTTGGGGTCTAGGTTGAGGCTTCGAGGCTTTAGGGTCTGGCTGGCATCGGGGGTCAGCTTCATCTTGAGATGGTCCGGTCCTGTTCTTCTTTCGGCAGCACACGTCACATACATCACTGATGCGCCAGCACAGCTGCTGCGATGGATTCATTCAACCACCAGCGCGAGAGTCGCTTCGAGGAGGTCAGAGGTGCGTTCCCGCAGCCGTTGTTTGGCGCGGCACCCGCCGCCTCAACCTCGCCAGGCTTCCAATTGCGAGTGCTGAGAACAAACCCTAAGCCCGGAAATGCATCTGCGCAAGAAAAGGCGTGGGAGGGGGAGGAGGGGGAAGGGCCCAAAAGATGCGTGTTCGGAGACTACACCCCGAAATCCTGGGCGACCTGCGTGTGGGGCCACGACGGACCTTTGCAAATGTCAAAGGATGTCAAAGGTTCCTAGGCCGCCCGTCGCAGCACGTCCGATGGCGGCCATCCCACCTTAAAGGACCTAGCCTCACCGATTCACCGAGATTTTGACAATCCTGTGGAGCCGCGCAAGAAAGATTTCCGAGCTCGGTTCTGTTGGGACATGTCCACACCACCTACGTATCATATTTGCTCGATGCCACCTTCGTCTTCCGCTTCCAAGTCAGAGGTTTCACAGGCTTCGTCATGTCGAACGCTTGCTCATGCTGGCGATGTGAAGCGCAAGCTGGGTTTTGCTCTCCCGGGATGCATTTCGGCACCCTGAACAGGATCCCCGATTCAGATTCCGCGAATCCTGATTTAGGATTTTGTGTTTCTGCACCCACCCACTCCTCTTAGCCTTCTGGGGTTCACAACCACGCGCCTTTTGGGGGTTTGGGTTTGCACCAGCTACTCCTCTGAGGGTTTCGGGTTTTCGCAGAACATGCTCCTTCGAGGGTCCGGGGCTTCAGCGCTCACATACTCATGTGTAGGGTTTGGGGTTTCTGCAAGTTGTTGGCTCCATGTACTGTTTTTGGTTTCGCACCGACCCACTCGCTATGCGGGTTTGAGTTTTGGCACAAGCTACTCAGTTTAAGGTCTCGTGCTTTCCCAGAGCATTTTCCTTTGGGGGTTTGGGTTTGAGCACAGACCCACTCTGCAACAGTGGACTCGGTTTCAGGGTTTTGAGTTTCGCACGTACCCACTTCTTGCGGCATTTGGGCATTCGCACTCCCTTTCTCGGTTTGGGTTCCGCACCCATTCAGTCATTTTTCTGGGTGGTTTGCACACCTCATTCTATGGATTGGTTGATTGGAGTTTGCGGAACCCGGTACTCCTGTTAGGCTTTGGGTGTCCGCACCGGCTGCTCGTCTTGGTCTCTTGCCCGCTTCTTGTGGTGCGCACCACCAGCGACTCCGTTTACTTTGTTGGGTTTCGGCATGACACACTCCTTTTCGGGCTTCTAGGTTCCCGACACCCTTGCCTTTCTCTTGATCTAAACCGTTCCTGTTAGCCCGGCGTGTGGGCACTGAATCGGGGACTCCGACCCGAATCGAGCAGGCGGCTGATACCGATCAGCTCCCCGAAGCGCATGATCCGGAAAATTGCGTGCACCGTTCCCCTATCCCCCCCACGCGAAGCTGGATGCCAGCAGGTTTTGACAGAAATTTCCAGTACAGAACGTCTCTTTGACGAATTGTAGGCAGGTCCTCGGACAAGTGAGAAAGCTGCAGCTGGCAGGAACTTGCTCCAAGTTCCCGGGAACAGATGTCGTGGTTGTGCGTGACTCGGTCCGACAAGCTTGGCGGCATGAAAGCGCATGTCTATTGCAATTCCCTTCCGCGAAGAACAGCCAGCCGTTCAGTGATCTGCCCGTAAGTTGTGTGTACTGAAACTTCTGGGATATGTCCAGAAGACCAGGTCGAATGGGCCTGTTGCCAACGCTCGCAATGAGCCGGAAATTCTGAGTGCGAACCCAGCCCCTGCCAGAATCCTCGCCTGTCCGTCGAGTGCACCTCTGCGACCGCTCAATCGAGGTGAGAACACGGAGGGAATGTACACTGGAGAGGAGGCCAGGGATTGTTCTCAGCCAGAGGCAGACCGTCCCAGAGCTCTCAAACCTCACAGTGCGCAGTCAGGTGTGGGAAAGCCCAGACAGCGTGGTCGCGACGAGGCGGATCACACGGCAGGCGTGTCGCTAATTTGAGGGGCTGCTGCTGGAGACGGGGCTCTAGGCCCTTGGCCATACAAGACCAGGCGATGGTCCTATCGCATGCCTTGCCAGCAAGTGCATTTGATTTTGTAAAGCTGCATCTCTACTAGGGCATGCAGTCGTGTGTGAGCGCCTTGTGTTCGAAGTGCCGCTTTGACCAAGTCTCCTTAAGAGGGAGTCGTCCCGAGTGCATCTGCAGATGCTCCTTCACTTGAGTCAGACAACTTCCCCACCCAAGCCATCCCAAGCCTGGGCCTAGCCTTCAGTAAGACGAGCTTCCTCTGCATCGGTTGTGTTTCAGAGTCGAAGCCTAAGTGTTGATACAGCATCCACATGATGTAGGCCATGAGATGGATTAATTGTTGCAGGTTCAGGGCCTTCACTTCGTTTTGTTAGGGGCTGCAAGCTGCACGTGGCTCTAGGCCCGTGTTCTATTCGCTGTCCTGTTTTAAAACTGAGGGAGGGGAACGGAGTCTGGCGAGACTGCAGAAGGTTTTGTCGCATCTGACAGATATCTTGCTGATGCCAGGGCGCTACTCGAGTTGCAACCTTCGCATTCGAGTACGCGCGTGCTAACGGCCGGAAGAAGGTCACCGCAGCACACAAAGCCAACGTCCTTCGGCAGTCGGATACACTCTTTCTAGAATGTTGCCGCCAGATAGCCTCCGAATTCCCAGAGATTGAGTACACAGAGCAGCTGTGCGACTCATTGCTTACGGGTATGGTATTGCACCCACAGCGCTGGGATATCATCCTTTGCGAAAACCTCTTTGGTGATCTTGTATCTGACTTGGCCGCCGGCCTTGTCGGAGGCTTGGGCCTCGCTCCTTCAGCCCTTTATGGTGATTCAGGCGTGTCGATCTTTGAACCTGCCCATGGCAGTGCTCCCGACATTGCTGGTCAAGACCGTGCCAATCCCACGTCGATGCTGCTTTCAGCTTCACGAATGCTCCAGCACCTGGGTGAGCACACCGCCGGCCGAGCACTCGAAGAAGCGCTGGCGGCTGTTATCAAGGAAGGCAAGCACACGACACCCGACCTGGGCGGGTCCGTGGGAACTCAGCAAATGGCAAAAGCCATCGCGAACAGGATCCAGGCTTGAAGAGCAGACTGCCACCTTCAGCTTCGTGCGGTGCCGCCCGGAGTGTTCGCAGACGATGGCCAGCACCGAGGAAGAGACGACCACAAGGACGAGAGGAATAGACTGGACACACTGGATGTGCGGGCTTGGCTGCATCGCTGCAGACATACGCGGAGTGCGCTTTCAACACCGTTGTGGAAAAGAAATCAGAGCGTTTCTGAATAGTTCTGCTTTTGGCCTTTGTTCCCGTCCGCTGGCCTCTGTGTGGGAGGGAAAGCCCGTAAGGCCTGGAGACGGCCTCTCGGAGCTTCGTTATCCGGCCAGACGCAGAGATGCAATGCAGCAATGCAATGACTAAGTCACGAGCTCACTTTAGTTCACTAGTGTCACTAGTGCGTCTCTGAGAACGGTCTGCATGAAGTTTGGGATGTCTCTGGAAGCAGAGACCAAGACTCCATCTTGAGCAAGATGATGCGCCAACTTGAACTGCTAAGGCGGGCATCTACATCAACAACAGCTTTCTTTATGCCGTCCGCTCAGCGTGTAGCAGCGCAGCAGTCAGTCAGAAGTACTGGGAAGACACACGATCGGCCCCTCTGCTGGGTCGATACATGTATTTTGCCGTTGCATGAGTCCGAACGATGCAGAACTTGTGCTTGCTTTGCACTGCAATACAAGGTGGTGGACTACGGAAACAGCCGCGTCCTACAGGTTCGCTACTGTATGGCTTCCAGCAGCCTCTGGTCACTGCATGAGCCGCTGCATTGCGAAGGTTGCCAGCGGCACTTCCACGGGACAGCGAGTCCCAGAGGATGAGGCGTTTGCAGCGTCTTGCGGTGACTGGTGCCGACTTGATCCGCTCAGGTGCTGCAGCTGCCGATCCTGCCAACGACAGCAGCCGACAGTTTTTTCGCCCTGGAACTCAGAAAATCTTCCGTTCCAGAGCTTGCGGTCAGCACATGCAACCATGTCCCAAAACAGCCTCGGGCTAAGCAGGAAACATGTTCCAAACGTCACTATGCAGCATGCTACTCTATGTGACCTGTCATGTCAGACGTCTAAGCCGAAATCCTACAAGACAGGACAGCTTTGGGAATTTCTACCGCGTGGATTACGGCAACCATCGGCTCATGTTTTGCCAGCGGCAGATCATGTCACTGCCTGAGTCCATGTAGAAGAGGTTTTGGGCAGGCCCGTGCCGATGGCTATTTGAATTTGTTGGTGTTTGCACGGAAGCACTCTGCAGCTACAAGTAGTGGACTAGCATGGACCCAAAGGCGGAGGTCAAAGGTTCGGGGACCATAAGCAGTGCCGCAAGGCCACGCCAACAAGCCCTGTGATGCAAGCAGTCCCCTACTCCTGCTTGGCGCTTCGCCTAGGTGCGCATTCACGGCCTGCAAAGATGTTGATCCTGCTACGGCCCCGGTCCTTCCGGAACCGTTGGGCATTCGGAGCCAGGCTGCATCATTGCACACTCAATCGCAAATGAGGCAGCTGCTTATGGTCCAAGCTGTGGCTGTGCGGAGGCGCGACGAGTGGTTCTGCCCAGCGTCACAGCTTGTGTGGTTCAACTTTTGTCAGGGCCGCACTGACTGCCGCGAGGAGCGGGTCTTTGCATGCTAGCAGGATCCACAACATTGCCAATTCAAGTTTGATAACAGGGATTGCACCAGTTGGTGCCGGGTGACCGTCAGTACTTCTGGCCAAAGCGAACGGCGAGTGAAGACCAAGTGTGCAAGTAAATTACATGCAAGGGCATTCAGAGTTTGCGCTGCAAAGCCCTCTTGAGGCTTCGGGAGCTCTGGAGTGATGCACTTCAGGCAAGGCTTTGCCAACACGGCGAAGCCGCCCGGATTCGATCTGGTCAGAGATGCTAAGGCTGCAGGGAATCACCAGAATTCTTGCAAATAGCTTCAGATCAAGGGTAGCCAGCAAGAGACCAACAAGGCCGTCAGACACTGAGCATCACGGGATCCATGCCTTCGTGGGACCTTTACTTGAGGATCCGTCTTTCCACAGCTAGCCAACATTGACCGCTAAAATTTGTCGATCAGAAAGCTTACACAGGTATACATGCTTGAATACTTTTCAGGGACAGGAATCGAAACCCTACCCCATGTGTACAGAGATTGATCCAGACCATCGCCTACCGGATAGGCATTCGCATGTCAAGCATTCGGCTGCAGCACCTCTGACCTCGCTGATGTACATAAGGAAGGATACAGCCAAGCAAAGCGATTGGCAAAAGTAGTCTTAGGATTGAGTCAGCCTGGGGCCGTGCTGCTAGCTTTTGCACTTGCCCTTAGAGTCTTCATTCCTTAGAAAGAGCGTATGTGAGAGTTTCACTGCACAGCGGAAGTGCGGAAGTGCTGTGTGAGGGGATCCAGGGATCGGGCAAGTTGAAGGCAAAAGAACTGATCTGAACTGACTCTTCACGTTCAGTCGCTGCTTTTCGGGCTTCACTTTTGGATTACCTCTCAGCCTCGAGAGCCAAAGCATCTGCCTCGAGCTACATGCCAAGAACTGAAGTCCTGCTACGCCGGCCGCAGCGCTTTGTTTCACAAGCAGCGTCCAGTGTATCCAAGAGAGGGAACATCGAACATGCTTCCGGGCGTTGTCTGTGCTCGTCAAGTGGGCATTGCCATGCATGCCAGTATAACCAGAAGAAGTTCACAGAGCAGCCCAGAGTGTTAAGGAGATTTTCTTCGCTTCACTTTCTTATATTCACACCCATGTTCTGGTGCTGTGTCGAAAGCTCATCAAGCCCGAAGGCCGGGATGCTGCAAGCATATCGAAGTGGGGCCGATTTTTCTACCGAGAATCAGGTCGACCCTCAGCTTTTTCTGAACTCTCCAGGCTGTCCACTTTGAAGATCCAGGAGTCACGGAGGAGCTTCACGTCACGCCTTCAAAATGCACCGCAGAGACATCGGATACGTTGGCAGGAGCAGACCCATGTGGTTGGGGCAGAGGAGAGACGACCCGGTGCTGTCATGCGGTGATTTTTTGAGTATTTTCGCTTTTGACTACAGACATTGGCGACAAATCCAGCAGACCCGCAGCGGGATTCTGAGTAATTCGGCACTTCCTACTGAAAAATGTCGTACGTGTAGGGGCATGAGAATTGATCCATCGGTGTCTTTAATTGACATAACGCGGTTAAAATGTGTGAGGCAGTGTGAGGCAAAAGGCTTTTGCTTAGCATGCGACATAGAAGACCTATCAAGAACATGCTATCGTTCTGCAGGTGTGCAGTCCGAAGCCTGTTAATGCCGCAGTAGACCCAAAGGCAGAGCTGAGGATTGACCGGCTTGCAAGGAAAGCGGAGACGCAGCTGCCAGATGCATTCAATAGGGCATCGTCATCATCAGCCTTTCTCCGGTTGCTGCCCGGCTGCCACCGGTCCATACCTCCGACACCTGCCGACACACCGTGCGGACATCACAAAATCGACCCCTCTTGCTGTTGCGGTAAACGAGAACAAGTAGGTGGTACATGAGAACCTGTTCTACTATGCTATGGGGTGAATGATGCATTGTCTGGCTCACGGATTGAGATAACAAGCACGACTACACTACTGAGACTCCAACTGCTGCGGCTGCTGCTACTACGACCAGTGCTGATACTCCTGCTGCTACTACTGTACTGCGACAACGACGCCGAACTATCAGAAGCATGTCGCAGGTAAGACAGTGCGAATGTCCCTCGAAGAGAGGGCAATATTCCCATAGATACCTAATCAAGATGTAGGAATACTGATCCACACTGATCCACGCTCATATGTTGAAGCGAATGACGCCGAGAAATTTGTCAGGAGATACCCTCCCGTCACAGCAGCCAGATCTCCGTCAATGCAATGCCAGTCCTCAGCGACGAGGTGGTGGTGCAGCGTGTGACTTCTTGTTCTGCACTACCACTCTGCAACCAAGCACTCTGGATTCGTTGGTTTTATGCCTATCCAGATATCGCCGGATAGGGGCAGCAACATCCATGGCAGCACGGTTCGCAAAAGAGTCCCGATTGATCGGAGCAAGAATCACGTGCCGTTTCAAACGTTTCACATCTTTGCCAGGACAACCTCCACATTCAGCGGTCTCGAGTCGGCGAGATGAGTGAGACCAAGGTGGGACAGACAGGCTTGAGCATTGGACGTGTGACACGTGCTAGCACCGTGCTACTGGTTCGTGCCGCATGCTTGGCCCCATGAAGATGCATGAGCAAGATACAAGGAGGTCGAAGTCGTCGACATACCGGTGCACACGAAGGACCTCAGAAAGCAACAGTGCGAAGGGATCCGAAGAGCAAGCCTTGCGGTCCGTGTGGCGAGTGTCCTGTGCTTAACTGTGCTTACTTCACATGGCAGCTTCGACCAGAAACCTGAATATGTGCAGACACCCATGCGGCCTGCCACAAGTTTCTATGGTGCATTCAAACCGAATCTGGAAGGAGTCGCTGTCCACGGCCGACTCCGCCGCTGCGCTTGAATCTCAACAGGCCTGGCAGGATCTGGAATTTGCGAGGGACCGCGGGCGTCACAGACAGGCTCCGCAAAGAAATTCACAGTGCCTCACATGCATCTTGAGATTCAGGACACATCCTGCACCACGCTGGGTCGCAGAAGCAGGCCGGGTCCACACAGCATTGGGCCTTGTGCTAACTCGGCGGCACGAGTTTGACTTTTCCTGTTGGCACTTCGTGGACCAGACCATCAGCGTCATTAGTACTGCCCCTCTTGGACTGTACTTGCACGGCAGGCTGCTTGGTCGAGCAGCAGACTCTCGGTGGAAGCTTCGTCGAGACGAGCTGGAGATGCGAAAGGAGCTTCCTGGCAGAGCAAGACCTGGAACATTCCCAGGCTCTCAGGAGAAGAGCACTCAATCCTCTCGCGCTTGCAGGGCACGGAACACTTGAACACACCATCACCAATCTGAGGCTCAGCCGAACGCTCAAGAGCACGCTATACCTAGCCACCTGGAAAGGTACAGATGCGGCTCGCCCAAAGTAAATCTAAAAAGCATGTTGGAGATTCTTTTGCGCAATCGCTCGGGTTGGTGTCCGGAAAGAGATGAAACCAAACCGACAGTCGCCAGAGGTGGTGATGAAATGCGTCCGGTCCTCGGCTGCCATGCTTTGCTGAAGGGGTGCACAGCAGCTCATGACGACATCTCGCTGCAATTGACGAGGTTGAAGTTCCGGAGAATTATGACAGGAGCTTGACGGATGGCAAGACTCGTAGACTTCCGTCCGTTAAGCGTGTGAGTAAGTGAGTGACGGATGAACCACTGATCCTCAGAAAAACTCAGCCACGGTAGAGTCTTGAGCCGTTCAGTCCTGCATCCATGTCGGCTTGCATGTGCTACAATGTATCCTTCACTCTAAAGTGCATTGGGCAAAACGTTTGGTGAGCACACTGCAGCAGCGTCAGCGGTGTCTCAAATCCGCACGGCGCGAGGACGGACGATCCTACACGGAAAACATCCAAGGCTCGAAGCTAGTAGTACTAGTAGCAGCAGTAGTAGCTGAAAAGAGCCTGGGTTCAAAAGTAGTAGCCGCAGCAGTGGCGGCAGCAGCAGCAGCCGAAGTGGTAACAGGAGCGTTAGTAGAAGTAGCAGTTGCAGCGATAGGAATTCGTAGTAGTAGCAGTAGTAGAAGTGGTAGTAGCAGCAGTAGTGGCAGCAGTAGTAGTCGTCGTAGTAGTAGTAGTAGTAGGAGGAGGAGGAGTGGTCGTTGTTGATACTACCTAGTAAAGCCAGAGCAGTAGGACCATCAGCAGCAGTAGTAGTAGTTGTTGTTGTTGTTGCAGCAGCAGTAGCAGTAGTGGTGGCAGTTGTAGTTGCTGGTTGCCGATTGCTCGTTGGTAGTCAAAGGTCATCGGCGGTGGCCGTAGCAGCGGCAGCAGTAGGAATGGTAGTGGTAGTGGTGGTGGTGCTGGTGGTGGTGGTGGCGTTTGTGACTAGTGGGCGTAATGGAAGTCGCAGTTGTTGTTGTTGCTGCTGGAACGGATAGGACAGGAGTTGATAGTGGCCGGGGTAGTGGTAGCGGTGGTCTTAGGAGCATCAATAGTTGTACTGTTTGTCGTTATTCTCAGGAGTAGTAGTAGTAGTAGTAGTAGTAGTAGTAGTAGCAGTCATAGTAGTAGCAGTCATAGTAGCGGTAGTAGTAGTAGTAGTAGTAGTAGTAACAGCAGCAGCAGTAGTAGTAGTAGTAGTGAGGTGGTGGTCTTCGTCGTGGCCTAAGTCGCACTTCGTCATCCTAGCAGCATCCGCAATAGTTGTTGCAGAAGGCATCGTCGTCGTCGCGGTAGTAGCGGTAGTAATTGTAGTAGCCGTAGTAGTAGTACTAGCAGCGGCAGGAAAAGCAGCAACAGTAAACAGTCGTGCGCTCCTTGTTTCCCCCACAACGAGAGAGCCGTTGCCCAACTTGTCTCCGCTCCCCTCCCTTCCCCCATATCCGCCTCCGTCTGACCCCCACGATGCCACCAGTACTACCACTACGTCTCGCATCGTAGTGTGCGCCACGCGTGCCGATACTGCGTTTTGCCGACTTGTACAGCGATACATTTCATTGGAGATCTTTAAGATTTCTGCTGGTACTACCACTACCACCACAACCACCGCTACCACTACCACCACGACCACCACCACGACTACTACCACTACTACTACTACTACTACTACTACTACTACTACTACTCCTGCTCTGCCAGGAGTATGAGAGGTCATGTCGTACTAGTACTCGTCGAAATACGACCCGACGTGCGGTAAGGGCTTGTCAAGGTATCTCGTGTTTACTCACATGCGGCCCGCTGTCAAAGGTGGATCCGCAGGTTGGAATAGGCCGCAGATAACACAGATAACGAAAAGAAAACCTGTGCCATCATTCTGTCAATCTCTGTCGGACTGCTTCAGAAAACCCTTCTCTTCATCGTTATCAATGCTAGAGTTTCGAGTGCAGTCTGAAATTTCAATACCGCCAAACCCTGAAATTGTTCAAGTCTTTGCTGTCTTGATGTTTAGTTCAACAGGGCTTCGGGCTGAAGCGCTGAGTTTCTGGATGCTTTTCATTCACAAGCCTGCCATATCCAGGAGAACTTCGATCCCACCTCGTCGCGTCCGCTCCATGCTTCGGAGGTCGACCAGGCTAAGCCACGTTCACGAGCAGAGTCTCATGACCCCAAGCCCCGGAAGTTGCAGAAAACTACCTGACCCAAAGCCTTGATGGTCGAGGTCTAGGTCACAAACTCACGGAGCGATGGACCTTTTCGTAGACAACTTCATCGCATCCATCGCAAGTTCTGAGACTATGTTTCATGACAATGCTTAGCTGGCTGTTCGCAGCAAGCTGAATTCATCGAGGAGCTTTCCAGGGTGGTGGTCTTCGTCAAGCAAGACTCCAAACTTCGCTAGACCAGAAAGTTTACACATCTCAACGCGCCAATGACCTTGTGGATTCGGCGGCCGAAAGACAGAGAGGAAAACAGAGAGACCCCAATTAGCATTGACCTGGCCATGGAGACGGGCGCTCTCCCAAAATCACATGCCTGAACCCACAACCGCTGGGGGAGGGGGTTTGCATAGCCGACTCACTAACACGGCTACGCGGTCTGTCGGGGGCTGCGTTTCTGCGGCTGCTTTGAGGGAGCTGCATATAAGGAAGTAATGGGGAGAGGGAACTTTGGGCTCCCTTCAGCATGATATACCTTTTACGTGTTGTCGTTTGGATGTCATTTCGCTCTGTCTGAGCGGGTGCGCTGGAGTGCAGGGGTGAGGAGAATCCATCTCCCCGGGCGGAAAGACAGAATAGAATAGAGGGAAATCAGCCAGTGAAACGCCTTTTCATTCCCGATTAAAGCCGTGCGGCGAGACCGTTGCGAGTCGTGGGGGTAAGGCCTTCCGGCCGGGGGGGTTTTCGGTTGCCAAACTCCAGGCAAGCGAGAGAAAGAACGTCAGACAAAAAAACACAGGATGAAGCTCAGTGTGTCGTATCGAAAGAGTACTGGTGGCGCCACAAGCGGCTTCATACCAAATCCGCGTGAAATCTCGAGAGGCGCCGTTGTTTCAACAGAGCTGTTGCAGGATCTCTTGGAAGAATTGCTGCACGAGATCGAACTTCTTTCCTCCCTGCGGCACCCAGATTTGGTTCTGCTTCTTGCCTGCACCTGCAATCGCCAAAGCAGGGTGCTCTATGTGCAGGTTTGCGCATTGACTTTCGTATAACATGAGACACGAGACGCGTTTCAGTGCACATGGACGAGCACGCTCCCATCACATTTCTGATTTCAGGTTCATTGGGGCCTGCTTGGACAAGGACTCGCAGTTCCTGCTTGTTGGGAGCGGCTTTCCGTGTATGATGGTTTGTCCGGGTTGACGCATGCCAAGGGCCTTGGCGCAAACATGCGCAGACGTTAGTTTGGCAAGCAAGGAATCCAGGGAATCCAGGGCCCGGCTTAACGGATTTTCGTCCCCAACACACCAACGCAGAGAGGGGGGCCGACCACATTCTATATGTGCCAACAGGACGCTCCTGTCATGTGCGTCACAGAGTACATGCCCGGTGGAGATCTGGAGCGTCACTTCATGGTGACTTGTCCAAAATGAACCGTGAGTTGTAGCCGGCCAAACGAGCATCGGACGGCACGGAAGTAGTGAAGAAGTCCGTCATTGACACGTTTGCATTGCATCGCCCGATCTCGATTGATTATGGACACACGGCTTGATGCACTTAATCATTCAATGGCCGAAAGCGGCCCGTGCCAATCTCCGTTTCCCTCAACACTGAACGGTTGGTTGCACACGGGCAAGCAGTAGTATTTTATAGAGGTTCCCGATCACAACATTTGACGGGCTGACAGCCGTACGACCATCTTCCGTATCCTGCCTCTTTTACGAAAGCAGGCTTTGGACTGGTCGCTGGTGCCTTCTACGCCTGTAAGAAGAACTCAGAGATGCAGTGAGAAGGCAGCCTTAAAACAGCAAGCGTGGAAAGCCGGAGGAGGGGCTTCGGCTTCGCCCCCTCTGGCCTGTTCAAATCAAGAAAGAAAGAAAAGAAAGAGACAGCGAGCAAGCGGGGGGGGGTATTTCCCTCGGCCCCGACAAAAGCGAGAAGTTTTCGTCATGCTGAGGCCATGCGAAAGAAGCATCAAACGCCGACCTGGCGACCACAATTCCGTCAAATTATGGATTGGAGCTTAGCTCCTCGGCAGTGATGTGCTTGGGGTTTCAGAATCTAGCCGCTCCTGGCAAGCTCTGCTGTGCTGAAGTTCGCTTCACGTGAGTTCGCATCGAGTCTGAAGTAAAAAACAAGAACTTCTTGACGAATAGATTATGGATTGGTGCAGCCTTGGGATGACGAATGACGAAACCAGTGTTACAGGCGGTTGCTCGTGGGCTCAGCTTCCTGCACTCGCGCACCTGGGCCTACCGTTTTGAAGCCGTGGAGTTGGAACTCCGTGCACTTTCACATGTTGGTACCCGGTCGACTTTGGCAAGGGGAGGAGCCCATCGTTCATCGAGACCTCAAGCCGCTAAACCTGCTGCTGCGGCTCACCTTCAACTAAACGCAACCATGTCACGCCTGTGAAGACGCCTGCGATGTGCGATCGAGCCTCGGAGCTTGCAGCTACCAGTGGGGTCAGAGCTACTGAGGACGAGACACGGCGAAGTCAAGATAGCGGACCTTGGCATCTCCAAGATGATGAGCCTTGGTTAACCTGTAGGACACTGTAGGACACGAGTCACAAGATCACTCGCTGCTGGAGGGGACAAACGGCATGACTTCACACTCAGGGCAGCGGTGGTTGGTGACGTCTACATCATGACCGGTGGAGTTGGCAGTTGGCTATACATGGCGCCGGAAGTTGTCAGGCATCGTCTTGGCGAAAATAATTCGCTTTGCATGTGCAGATTTCAGTGCTTGTCACCTAGAGTCCAAAGTTGCAGCTGCCTACGGCCTAGCCAGTCGTGAAGACCCCCTGCAAATATCAAGCATGGTCATGCCTAAACTGAACGCTGACGAGGCACCAGAAGTACAACGAACCTTGGTCTGCACTCACTGTGACCACTCACACATTCCTTGCGATTTATGAATGGGGTTGAGACCAGCTGGATGATGAAGTCTGGTGTGGATGCCGTCTCACCGTGCTAAACACAGCTTGGTCATACTCTTGCAAGGGCTTTCGGTGACTAGCTCAGAGATACAGGGATTGTGACTCGTTCGTTTCAGCTGAAGGTGGCTGTGACATGATGGGAGATGGTGTCTCGGAATTGGACCGTGATTGTCCAAGTTATTTATCATCGCTGGCGTTGGTCAGCACCGTCTACATCTCTAGAAGTCTTTATCATCCTGATCTCGCATGCCGTGAAGGGGAGCGCCCCGCTCACCTTCCCGTCCCCGCCTCAAGGTTCTTGTTTTGGCACGCATCTCGCACACGGCTGCCAAAAGTTGGCCTGACGTGTCGCCTGACCCCTTCCCTGCTTCGCTTCCTTCCCTTAGCTTTCGGGGCCCTCTTCGGCTTCGGACTTGCAGTACTGACTCCGCGTCACACGAGGTTTCTCCAGGGCAGAACTCCAGAGAAAACAGCAACAACATCAAAATGAATTCCAAAGTCCTCCAGTCGCAGGATCTGGCTGCTCCGTTCTAGGTAGGAGTGGCCTAAAGGTTTATGTCTTCACTTTCTTGAAAGGTTCCCCATGTCAAAGTGCTTGTTTCATGTGATGACAGACCACATTTCCATTTCAGTCGCACCTTCTTACAGACCAGGACATACCCACTCGCAGGGCAAGCTGATGCAACTGAAGTTCTAGCGGGTCAGCATGTTACAAGCTGCATCGCGAGACCTCAAAGCTCTCCGCTTCATCGCGTTTTTCCTCTGCTCATGCCGCATCCAGAAGTCCGAGCTCCACTCTTGTAGATGGGCACAGCTGTGAGCCGTTCAGGGTTCGGGCGGCCACCCCTCGCTGAAAGCTACAGCTGTGATAGCTACGGTACATCCCGAGTCGGGCGTTACCGCAGGATTGCTATCTCGTCTGACCGGCATGATGCGAAGCCATGGAAATGTCGCTTTGTTTAAGAATTGTTCTGTCGCATTGTATGCTTCACTCATGAAATTTCTGCAGGGGCCCCATTCCAAGATTAGACACTTCGAAGTTGCATATGTGTTAGTGTGTTGCTAGGTGACAGCATTTGGTTGAAGTTGCGCAGTATCAGGAGAAGGTGGATATCTATGCCTTTGCCCTCATCATGCAGCAAGACTGGATTCAGAAAGTGTGTTTGCCGTGTGTTCGATTTCGGCCAAGAGCCTGGTTCGAAGCAGTCGCGAACTCTAGCAATGGACATAGATCGGGTACCCAGAAATGTCAGGACATGCATCCTTGACAAGCGAGTCACTGCAGCCGCTGCTTCTGCGCATGCAGTCGTTTCTTCGCAGTTCGCCGTGGCTCACAGGTTTTTCATGAGCTCTGGACGACACCCTTTCCACGAGATATCGAAAGATCCAGAAGTCGCACCTCGCATATGATTATTTCTGCTGGACCATGCGGCAATCGACCTGAAAGAGCACTGCATAAACTGCATGTCTCCAACACGGCTGGACAGTCAGTGGCGTGTCTCAGGTCTTGAGAGAGTTCGCCAAGGGTAAGGAACCGAGGCAAACTGACCTGTGCTGGCAGCAATCCGCATACTGTAGCGTGAACCCTGATCCAGAAATCACCATCTGCTGCAGGTTCTGTCGAGTGGTTTAATCATGTTGATGATTTCGAGCCTTTAGTGCGCTTCGAGGAACTGAGCGCACCTGGCTTCAGAAAACATGCTGCGGAGAGAGTGTTGAATGATTTGAATCATTTGCTTTCCAAGCATCCAATGACACGGACTGCGCTAGTCGGTAAATCGTGAAGCAGTGAACGCCTGCCTCCATGGGCAATCATGCTTGGATCAGGCCAAAAGTTGCGGAGTGCCATGCTGCGCTGCGGCGGCCAATGGCTGAAGGTTGGCATGTCTTCGCCTGAGCATGCCCGGCCAAGTAACTGCATCGGTGGTGTTTCGACTGATTCTGGTGCAGCCTTTGCCAAAAGGAAAACAGGTGAGAAACTCTGTGCGACAGACCATATCGGTCATGTCGCTTCTTGTCAGCATTTGTCGAACTCGACCTCGCAGCAACATGTGCAAGCGTCCCAGGTCAACCAGCAACAGCGGCCGTCTGCCGAAAGGATTGTCGTCCAACTGCGCGAGGCTGCTACGAGGGATTAGAGCACAAGGAGTTTCGGCTGAAAGATTGCATCTGGATTTCCGAGGCCGCGGAGAACTACACGCCGTCCACATGTTTTTGCGGCAGATCTTGAGCGCAAGCTTCCCATGTCGCGTCGGCTGGGTGGTTTAGAAATGCCGGCACATGCTCGGCCACAACCCAAACCGGCGTTTACACGTATCGGTCTCAGAGCGAGACATCCATGCGTTCGGAGAGCCTCCCGTAAGCCCAGAAAATGTGGCGGCAGCAGGGCAAGATGGGAAATGCAAATCGCAGTGACCAGCGCTGCAACGTCACTGCAACTCGAACTGCCTCGGGTCAGACCGTAGTCGTGCTGGAGCTCGCAGATTGAACAATCGAGCCCCTTCAAGCACGACGTTTGGTTAAGGTGAATCGTCACTGCCAGAATCGCAAGTGGGTGTGCTCGCTGCAAAAAGTAGATCGTGATGGAAGTGCCAAGCAAGGCAGAGGGACGCGGAGCAAAGGGAGGGTGCTTAAGTCAAGTTGCTGTCACTCCCGCATGCCCCCCCCCCTCTCTGATCCTGCTATTGCTCTATGTAGGTCTGCACACAGGGCGTACTACGGGCTTAGGGGTGGCTCCCTAGCGCATGTTCCCACCGGTGTTTTTTGCTGGAAATTTTGCCTGAACTGCCTCAAGCTGATTCACAGGTGAAAAATCTACGGACGAAGCTCGCCACCGACAGCTTCTGCACTCTAGTAATAGTGCTGTGAACCATCAGATGACATGAGGCAGTTCACGACAGGGCCGTTGCCCATGACAACGGGGCTAGCCACCACTTGGCATCGTGTTATGCATGATGCTCGGAGCCGCCTTCGGGCCTTTCCATTGTTTTTAATTTTCAGTTTCAGCTTGTGCCTGCCTTGCTTGGCCATCGGTCGGGTGCTTTACCAAGTCTAAACATCCTGCTTTGCCCCTATTGTCCGGCTTGTCTCAAGTAAAGATGGCCCAAAACTCCCGACAGTCGATTCCTCACAACTTGAATCCCAAGCGGAGATCCGTACGTGCTCTCACACTCTCAGATAACTCAAAACGATCAACCAGATCTTCGAAGAAAGAGCTCGGCGTTCAACCTTCCCCGCACTCCATTAGCCAAGATGCGAGGTGTTCTAGTGTGTGTGTGTGTGGGGGGGGGGGGTGGGGGTTGGTCTTATGTGTTCCTCCGAAGAACAGCCCATCCCGGAAGTGAATTTGCCTCAGACTTTGCATGGCACATGGTCGTTGGCCAAGTTCTTTCCTGGCGGTGCCTTCGCTCGAGTATCCCCGCAGATGCCCTTCGCCCTGATGCGACCATGTTGGCACGGCCTAAAGGCAGGGATCCTTGATTCAGGAGGCCTCGGTGTGTTTTTGAGTTGTGGTTGAGCGGCAGGACCTCCTGCAGCTTTCAGCAACAGCTTCACACAAAACCTGTCGCACTTTTCGGGCAGGCTCAGCTGAGTCGCACCGAGCCGGTACGGAAGATTTTAGTTCCAGCATTTTCCTGATGTAACATAATGAATGCACAGAGGTGAGATTTTCGGATCCGCTCAGCCTGAGACCAGCTTGGAAATGAGCTACTGAGGCAGTCACAGTGCAGGCATCAGTGTGTCCGGTAACCGGTTCACCGAGGGAGCAACATCAATTGCAGCAGTACGGGTTGTGCTCGGTACGGATTCGTGCAGCATGTGGGACACGTGATTGTGTCCAGTCCTCAAAGCTGTAGGATTGCAGCACTGCCAGAACTCCAGGTCCTGACTCGACTGCGATTCACGTACCGTGCATGACTCGAAGTACCCCGGACCTAGCAGTCAAAGGCGCATCAGCGCCCTTCAGCGAGGCAGAGTGCAAGACAGGTGCCACGTTGCATCAAATGCTGAAGTTCTTGGACAAGGAGTGGAGGTTGAAGAACGTACATTCTCAGCCTCTAATTTAGAAGAGCATGAGAGTCATGCTGACAGGAGGGATGCTCATGCGACTCACACTTGCAAGAAAAGTAAGGCAAAGCTTGCCCACAGGCTAGTCATGCGCTGCATGAGGCCACGATGCGACAGTGGTATATTCATGCCCAGTTTTAAGCCCCTCTGTCCAGCGGAATCTCGCACATTTCATACGTGGACCTTGCCATCGTTGCGTTGTGTGGCTAAGGGCTTGTCGACATCAGAGACTGGGACTTCAAAAGCAATGGCTGCAGAGGTTTAGGGTGCAGGAACGTCTTCACACGTCAGATTTTTGAAACGAGTACCGTGATGCATGACACGTTCAGAATAAGCATTTTACAGAATTAGGCAAGTTCATACTATGGTCACAACATCTTAGAAGTGGCTGAAGGAGGCGTAGCTACGCCTTTTCGTCAGCCTGTTTTCCTCCAGCCTGTATTGGTAGGACAGTCGACTTGGGTTCGAGATCAAGCCATTATTCCAGGACACCACCTCGAAGCTAAAAATGCGGAGGGCTTTGTGACACATTTCAGCGATGTTCCGACTCCCGACTTCCAAGTTGTATCATGCAAAATCTGCACAAGCACTGGCTCCATGGCTGCATGCGACTTTTTGTCAACGACACTAGTATCTCACGCGAAATTTCCGGTCTAGGGCTATCAGGTGTCCAGGAATTTAAGGATGTGAAGATTTCGGTATTCCATCTTATCCTATCTTATGAGTCTTTTTTCTTGAAAATGAAATTAGATTTATTATAGTTCGGAAAAATAAGAAGCCTCATTTATGAAACCCATCCGAATACATTATATATATATATATATACAGCAAAAGTACTATTCTTGATTAGAGACTAGATGACTAGATATCATATTCTATTTAGAAATAAATTTACATATATATAAATATTATTTCTTTTAATTCTATTTATATAGGTATTATAAAGTCGTCTAGCATATTTATTTTTATATATTTTAAATAATAATCTTTATAATCTTATGATTATTTTTACTAGACGTAATATTGATATTGATAAATATTTCTTTATGAAAAAAGAAAATTACTTTAATAATAATTATTATTATCTTTATTGAACTACTATGAATATATAAGGAAAATTTCAGAATAATAAATATTATATATGAAATCTAAATGATATAAAATTTACGATATATAGAAAATTATTGAAAAATTGAATTTGAGAATTAAATAATATTTTGAAATTCGCAAA